GTTTCTGCTGTTGCTGCTGCTGCTGCTCTCGATGTTGCTGCTGCTCCCGATGTTGCTGCTGATGATGCAGATGATTGAGCTGCTGTTGCGGCGCATGGTGGTGCGTCAGCAGTGGCTGCCCGGCGCCGCCAGCTGCCACGGCTGGCGGTCCATGAGCCGGGCAGAAGCTGCGATACTCTCCATTGATGTCCATATATATTGGCGCCTCCACAAGTGGCCAGCCGCCGCCGGCGCCGGCTGGTGTGGCAACAGCAGCTGCCGGCGCTGCTGAGCCGGCTGCTGCCGTCGGCGTCAAGGTAATCAATTGCACGGGCAACAATTGTGGGCCATTGCTCGACTGCACATGTATGTGTGGCATGCCACCGTGCTGGCTGCAATGCTGCTGCTTGGGCGACACCTGCTGCTGCTGCTGTTGCTGCTGTTGCTGCTGCAAGGTGGACAGCGCGTGTTGCTGATAGAAAACAGTTGTGTGCTCGTAGGCTGCATACAGGGTACTCGATGCCGCATGGCTTCTGTTGAAGGTGGCCGATGCTGGTGGTGCTCCCAGAGCCAGCATGGACATGCTGCTGTTGCTGCCGGCAGCTGCTGCTGGCTGCGACTTGGCCCGCAATGCGGCGGGCTGAAAGGGCGGCGCCAGGGGTGTTAGATTCGATTGCGAGGCCTTGACCAGAGCGCTGCTGTGGGCCGTTTGATTTGACAAGTCCTCCGGCTTGTTAATTGGGATTCGCTCCTTGCGCGTCGCTTTGGCCCGCTCCGGGCCGTTGGCTATGTCGTGTGCCTCGCTGCGATTGTTGTTGTTGTTGTCGACAACAGTTTGGGTCGCCGGCAACTCGGACACATGGCTGACGCCCGCCTTGTCGATTAACTGATAGCTTTCGTCAATGAAAGCCACCAAATCCTGGCAGGCCTGCTGCAATTCCTCCTGTGTGGCCGGGCCTGACGCTGTCGCCGCAGTCTCCTGTTCAGCCCCAGTCTCCTCTTCGTCGTCGCTCTCGATAACGTGCTCGATAATGCGCAAGTTATCGTAGTCGATAATCCGCGCATAGCCCATCTTGAGCGCCAGGCCCGTCAGCCTGGCCACATCATCGTTCCCGCTCTCATCGTTGTAGGTGAATACATCGAAGGCGTGTGAATCTTTGGGGCTCTGTTCCGACGAGGCTTCTTTTGGGAACTCCAGCAAAACTGTCATTTTGCTGTTCATCTCGTAATCCTTATGCCCATCGGCTGTTATGCCGTTTGCTGTTGTAGTCTCCTGCTCTTCCTCGGGTATTTGCTCGAGCTGCGATTCTGTTATCTTGAGCTGTTCCACCTCCTCTTGTTCGTCCTCGGTTTGCGTGCTGTTATCGATAAATATCTCTGCCCCCTCATCGGTGGCCGTTGCCGAAGACATTCCGCAACTGTCGTAATAGACACATTCGTCGCACACCAAGTCCAGCTGTGTCTCAGTCGCCGGTGTCTTCAGGTGAGAGCTTACAGTTGCTGCTGCCATTGTTATTCAAGGGCACATTTGAATATATTCTAACAGATCCAATGAGTGCACCTCTTACTTGCCAATTGCTCTGGAATTGCTCTGCCTTGATTCTTGTGTGACTTGAGAGATTTCAGCTGTAGTTGCTTACTTTTCGTCAATAATACCATTTTTTCTGAGCTCTAATTTAGTTTAACATTGTCTGAATCAAGCTGTGCTTCAATTTCAGGTATTTTTTTCATTTTCAGCGCCTGAAAGTAAAAAAGGTTAGAGTTACAAATTAGCGAATTTATGGTTTTATCACCTTGACTTTTATGAAAGCGAAAGAGTGCTCTAGTCGGAAATGCTTTACTAATGTATACCCTGTATCTTCTTCTACCAGAAACTAGTATTATTAAAAGTCAGACTAAAAGCGCTCTAGACGGGAGTGCCCGACTGGGGGATACCCTGTATCTTCTTCTACCAACAGCAAATGCAGAACAAGAATAAGGAGAATAGGAATAAGAATAAGGAGTCTGCCTCTTTAGGGTAAAAAAGAGAAGACTTGCCATCCACTGGATCCATCTAATAGGGTTCTATAAGACATATCTCATTGATAAAATTTGCAGTCTCTTGCTCTTATAGGTTCTGAGATACTTGCGTGTCCGTGCGGACAGACAGACAGTCGCATATAGCTAGATCAAATCGTCTATTTCATGCTGAGCATGCATTATTAATACTTTAAGATACTTTAGTCAAAGATACTTTTTCTGTCTGTAGCATACCAATATACCCTTTTTACACATTTTCAATTGGTTCAGGGTATAAAAACGAGCTATTTTGGTGCTCAAAAATGGCGAACGAACGTCATCAAATATTAATTTTAATCAAAAGTTAATCATAAATGCAAGGGAAAACAGTTGGGAAATGTTCCAGTGATTTCTGTTGTGGCTGGTGCAATTGTTTGACCAACAAATAAATCATTTTCAAATGACTTTTACAAGAAATATTATCAGAGTATCAGAATCAAAGTTCTTTACTGAAGTAGCACGCACTTAAAGATATCTATTTGACACGAATTCTTACGTACGAATACAAACTTAGAATATCTATTGTAGTTACATGAGGTAACAACTAGATAGGGTCAATCTGCTTTCTACTCCTGAACCCATCAATTACTGGGGAAGTAAACTCATGAGGTCGTGGGGTTACAGAGCTGCTTCTCACGATCCCAAGCTGGGAAAGTGAAATTATTAGTATCGATTATATTCTTGAAATCTTCAGGAATAGAAAAAGTTAGCTATAGCTGATGGAGCATTAGACTTTACAAGATATATAGACGTCTGGTGATTAACGATCTATCAGAGCATACATTTAAATCCTGCTTGAAATCTATGCTGATTGGATGATTCTTTTATACCTATAGAAGAAAGCCCAAATTCTTCGCATTGTCGTTTGCAAATTGACTTTTTATTCTCTTATTACTATATAAATATTCTTGCCTATACTACCTTTACTTTTTATGTACCCTGATGAACACATGTCCATTTCGAATGAACTCTAGACCGAAGAAGTATTAACTAGATTTACAGTCTTAACAGAGTATTGGAGAAGGATTTTAAAGACGGCAAATCAGCTAAATCTGTTCGTTAATTTAATTCTCAACAGCTTAAAGAGCTTCGATTAATGTGTGGCAACATTTGCCGACATCAACAAACATCTAAGCGACTGTGTCTATTAATACTTAAAACCTTGCTTTCCGTTAATATCCTTGCTACCCTCCACAGCTTTCTTAAAGTAAATAAATCTCATCATCGTGGTCGACGACACGTTCTCTGTAACCAAGGAAACTCGAGCTGGATTCCCCCCAAGGCAGCGTCCGTGCCACTTGACTCTAACCTGTTAACCCCAATGATTTCACCCTCGACGACACATCAATTATCTCCGTAGCAAGAAGTATTTATCAGACTGTTGGCCAACTGCAAGGACACTTGAATGCGTTTGAGACGTGGGTTCAATTGGCTAATCAACAGGTAAAAGTCAATTTGCGAACTGCCAGACGAACTGCTCGAGCATAAAGAGGAACATCGCTGTCCAAAAATTATAATCGACTGAGTGGGAAGCCGCAATCTCTCTTGACTCAGGACAGAAGCTCCTTGGTACATCTACAGTCGTAGCCTGGCTAAGGATATTAAGGCTTAAGACAACAACGAGAATGCAAAAGAGTCTTGAGGAAGATGCCGAAGGAGACTTGGCAGGATCTGGGTACTCGACATCTCCGCACTTTAAACAACTTGTCAGAATTAAGCACTAATGTTAAGCTTCCGAGGCGAACTATTAACCAAGTAGCTGAAAAAAAAACAACAGACCAGAATGCGTTCTTTCATACCTCAAGTAAACGACCTTGATGTCAAAAGATGCTTAAATGGGCTTCTAGAAAAACATATATATATATCTATATAGACGCATCCTGCTGATAAAAATAATAAAAAAAATAAATCTAGTCAAGCGTCAAGGGGCTTAGGGATTCCGACAAATGACGAGCTCGCCACAGCCAATTAGTAGCACATCATTTGCCGTCTCTTAATCTGGCTTATGCTTTTCACTATTTTACCTTTTCAACATTTTACAAATGTGGCATAAAAAGTGCCAACAAAGATGCGTTAAAGATGGGTTAAACTTCATTTGAGCTAAAGCCAAAAACCAAAGCATACTTAAGAGGGCCACATTCACATATATGTATATATGTATATATATGTATATATATTTGCATATTTTGTTACAGTCGCGCTCACATTTGTGTCTGGTTTCCATATTAAGACTCCATATGGCAGAAAATTGCTAAAATATACGACTTTTTATACGTTAACTGAGGCTAGGTTAAGCCAAAGCGAATACAATTTGTTCAATCGCAATAAATTAGTGTAATTAACATGTGCATAATTATATATATATCAAAATAATTAAAATATATTAATTAAAGCTGGCCTGTGATAGTATTTGTAGTCTGCATTATCCGAATAATTAATACGCTGCTTTAATTAAACATTCAATTTGGCAAATGTCTGAGCACTTTCAGATATATTGAATCCCAGTTGGAAAATCGATTTCGATTTCATGAACAGCGAAATATATATGTATTAAAATATATTTGTGGCATTTTATACGTGACGGATTGCGCCATATTTGGGGCCCACAACTATTTATTTGCACAGCAATAAAATCAAGAGCACAAATATTGAAATATGATAGAGAAATTAAATAATTCTCAGCAATTTCTGAGTAAAACTGATTACGTAAGTGTGCTTAAATGCTTTGCCTTCAGTCCGGTTGAAATGTTTCAAATTAGAATTCAGTCTTTGAACGAAATGCAATTATTTAGTTGGAAAGCATTTGGCTCTGGCTTCTGCAGGATGATTTGGCTAGATTCCTTCAATTAGGATTATAAACGAATCGATTAGTGGCCTACTTAATAGGACTTGACTTGAAACGCAGCAGGCTAACTTGGAATATTTCGAATCACCGGACGGTTGTCTAAAATGTCGTTCATTTTCAATAGTTATTAGACAATACGGAACATTCATAATCTACTATAATAAAAAGTTGTTATTTAAAGAATTTATCGAAATGCCAAACTTTAACGGAGCCATCGTTGTGCACACGCTGCAGTTGATCAAGACCCCGGCGACACTTCGCGAGATTGTGGTGACCATTGCCAAGAACACGGAGCTGCCGCAGGAGGATCTGATGAAGCCCGTCAAGCAAACCCTTGACATGGGCTACCGCATGGGCTTCCTACAGAAACTAAATGGTACGATCACAAACATATTGAAAAGGTTCCCCGCTTTGGCTACTTATTCATTTCCGCAGGAAGATACTTTTTGGTGCCGATGACCTTTGACACGCTCATGGCTGAAATGAAGTCGCCCGGCCAGCACGGCCAGCCCGCCCGCAAGAACGCCCAAGAGCCCGAAAAGGACGAGTCCAAGCTCAAGTTGGACAAGAAGTCCGCCAAGCAGCACCTTAAGCAGCTGGCGCTGTCAACCAAGAACCAGAACCAGAGTCAGCATCAATCGATTGTGGATCACGAGTCTACCACCACATTGATGCCACCGCAAAGTATGCACTTGAAGCCGGAAGCATTGATGATACGCAAGCTTAAACGGTCGCAGGTGCCCCCCATTAAATAGGTGACTCACTCCAAATGCCTTGAGGCGTCGAAAATTTTCCGTTTGCTAATTGAGTTTTTCTTTTTGGTAAATAAATATACAAAAATTGAATGATGCGCTAAGTAGCATAGCACAGCTACATTGTTGAACTTTTCAATTAACCCTTAAAATGGCAAAATATAAACACTAACAAGGTAGTCTAGGTGCAAACTGTTTAAAATTCCATGGAAATACCATTGGATCCTTTGCTAGAACAAGATGCTGCAACGTACTTTGAAAAATTGCCTCTCATTTGTGCAAGTTGACAAATGTCTCAATTAGCGGCGCCATCTCTCGGACGGGCTCCTGTAACTAGTGGGCGTGCAAGGGGGAAGGGCGGGGGGGCTGAGCACGAGAATGACATCGACGCGTCGTTTCCCTCAATTTGTAAGCCAAATGAAGCGTCGCCTCTGCCAAGTTGCCCCGTTTGCAGTGTGCATTGACCATATGGTTGGCCCAACCAGCCGCCCACGACCGTTATCCACAGTCGCACTGTCGCACTGTCCCACTGTCCGTTCTCCTTTCCGACCTTTGCGATGACGTCGACAGCAACAGCGACTGCTACGCCGGCAGAGAGCAACGCACGTCAAAGTAATGCAAATGTAGTCTAAGCACATACCACATACCGGGACGGGACCCAAAGTTAGAAAGAGAGCGCGACATGCGTGAGCACGAAATATGGTGAGTAACGAGCGCGTGTTGAGTTTCTATACGACGGGAGTGCAACAAATGTTTGTCTCGGTCAACTAGTAGGTAACGGTAAGGACGTGCGCCGTGGTGGTTTTGCCTTTGCTGTGTGGGCGCGGGCGCTGTTCACAAAACGGTATAAAAAGCGAAAAGTGGGATTATCCCACGACATCGTTTCGGCATACTGGCATAAATACTTATGTATGTACATATGTATACACTATAATCGTAAAAGGGAATACTCCACACTGCGCGTCCTTGCGTAAAGGTGGGCGCAAGCATTTAGGGCATGTATGCACGTTTAACGAAGCCAACTACGTAGATACTCTTTTTCTGTATTTTAATAGTTAAATATTAATGATTCCCGTTAAACACAGATCATAGAGTGTGTCGACAGTTTCTGACACGAGGTAACACACCACACCAAGGGACATCAAATTATGTGAGCTTTTATTGTGCGTTCTTTGTAAGATTACAAATAAATCAGAAATAAAGCAGAAAATAGTCTGGAAAAGTTGATCTATTTCTTCTATTCGATTTCGTTAGCTCTTACAATCTCTTACATTTATGACAGGAATAAAAAGGAAAAAGATTTATTTCCATCTCTTAAAAATATGTCAGACAGACAGACAGACTTTGTGTGAATTACTTGGTTTTAGTTGACGATAAAAAAGTTTTCTTGGAGATGTCACAAAGAATTACATAAAACCAAGAGACCCTATTGAAAGTACATGGATATATTAATTATCGCATTCATATATCCGCGTCAGATATACGAACTGCAACGGAAAATATCGGACTTGCATTCCTTCGAACACAGACTAACAAGTTTTCTGGAAAAGTTCTAGGAAAACATGCATCTCCGATGTGAGACTATAAGAATATTGAGAATTACTCCATGTGTCGAAGGCAATACAAGGAAGAATAGATGATGCGTTAACGATTCTCATTCAGCTTTCAGAGTTAAGATACATATTAAGATACATATTGCTTCAGATACTATTCTCTCTCTGTGTGTCCTTAAAATTGTACTAAGGTCTGTCTCTGCCTGCCAAAAGACCATTTAAAAGATAATTTAACAAATTGTTAATTAAACAATATTTATGAATTGTGTATTTAAATAAAAACCTGTCTCGCCAACCAATCTGGACGATTGTTAGTTGAGCGTAAACTTGTATTAGTTTGAGAAAGCTCAAGGGGACGGCCAGGGGGGAGGGGGCAGCAGACGTCTGCGAAGCATATGCCACGCAAAGCTTATCAACCGTTAATGCCGTGCATTGGAAATATATAAATGCAATTAACTGTCATCTAATCGAAAAGCGTTGTACAACAACGCAAAAGAGCACGAAAGTGCGTAAGAGCTTTAATTCCCAGCAGAAATATGCACACATGCACACATGCACACACCCGCATTCATATATGTATAGATAGTTATGCATTTACATATAATGCATGTTTTCTTACACTAACACACACGCACATATGCACGCATGTAAGCATGTGTAAATGGCAAGACATAAAAACGTAGACGTGCAACAGCAGAGCAATTTACGTTGACGTCGACAGCGCTTGGCAATACACTGAAAACCAAATAGGCTTCAGTTTTGCTTTGCGCGTGGTGAGTAAGAAAGCGTTACTGCTCTGCCCGCTGCGAAGCCCTGGCCATGCCTCAGCGGCGCATTACGTTGTTGTTGTTGTTGCTGCTGCTGCTGCTGCTGCGTCAACTGGTTGAGTTGCCTCGCTGAATGCACTTGTTTGCCAGTTTTTGTTGCTACGTTTTGTTGCTTTGCTTTGTGTGCCACAAACTATTGCCAATTCACACACACAAAAGCTAAAAAGCTGTATGTGTGTATATAAGTATGCGTGTGTGTGTGTGTGTTTGTAAGTACATACATTATACGCGCGTGTGCGTGAGTATAAAGTTAGCATATTGTTGCCTTTTACTCCCAATTCGCCGCATTAAAATCATCATAAAAACGCAGCGGTCACAGCTGAACATGAAAGCAATTAAAAATTTATGAAAAAGAATTAAAAATGCTATTTCCTAATAGCTTGCCTTTGACTTACCAGTTGCTGCAACAAAACAGCAGAAAATGTTTTCGTTATTTCGCACACCATACACTCACTCACACATGCATATACACACGTATGTACATACACAGGCACAAATTCAAAACACATACGGCACGAACGCGAATATGAGCACGAAGAAAACAAACCTATTCAACTAAAAGCAACAATTTGTTATTGTTTTATTTAGCATGGCACTGTTTCTTTTTTATTTTGTTTCTTGGGCTTGTTTTGGTAGTTCGGTTCGTTAGAAATTTGCAATTTTAGTCGACTTTAACTTGTTGGCATTTGGCTTAACATTAACCAAAGCAACAGAAAACACAACAACAGGCGACACACGAACACCCAAACGCGGCAAACGTTTGATTTTGATTGACGCTGGCGCACCATGGAAAACTGCAAACGAGCCAAAGCCCGCTAACGAGCATCGGCGAGCAGCCAGCCGACCGACACGAGCGCACGAAGCTAAATCCGAAGCGATGGCAATGCTTGAATACTGCGTGGGAGCAACGCGCAAGAGCAGTGCCTACAAGTTGCATGCAAATTCTTTTGTACGTGGGTGGCTAAACTCCGTTAAGTGGAAGAGAGAAGGCGCGACGGCGGTGGGTACTGGCATCGGCAAAGGCAACATATGTACATATTTCGATTGTTCTCTGACCACAACCTGTGTGAGGGCAGGCGGCAAAAGCTTTTTACTTTTTGCTTTTTTTTCTTGCTGCCGGCAGAGTCAACAGCTGTTTTACAGTTTCACTGGACTTTGACAATATTAAAATTGTTAAAGATTAGCACAGTTAATCCAATCGAAATAATAACTGACGCAATTAAAAAGACTCATTTTAATAACTTACTCAGCGTGTATAAAAATTGTATGTAAAAATATGGTTTACCGTTAGCGGTAAATGTTTCAATGTGTGTGTGTGTGCGTGTATGTGTGTGTGTGGTTTTTTTAATACAAGGAATTGCGCATTAGTCAAGTGTCGCCGCTTTAAGAAAAAAAGATTGCCAGAAATGTTGTGATTTGAATAGCCAAAAGCTTGCACGCGCATGGTGTGTGTCTTCGATAATACCGTTATCAACGTAAAGCTTTTGGCCAGTAACAGTGTTTTTGCCATCACTTGGGACAGAAACACTTGTTAGTTTTGCGCAGCTTTAGCCACCATTCAAAGTCGTTCTGGATGAACTTTGGCTTTTCGGTTTTCTTCTTCTTCTGATACTGATCGCGATCGTGCAACCAAATCCGCGCATATTCCCCTGCAATGAGCATGCCCATCGTGGTGGGAATATCCTATCCGATCAGATGAATACGTTTATTGCAACCTGAGCTAGCTAAATGTGGCCCAATAGTATATATTCACCTCGCGCTCGGTGGTTGCGACCTTTGCACAACGCTGGGCCCTTAAGCCGGCTTCGGTTGTTAGATTATCCTTGGGTCTGCAAATAAGGGAACGTTCCCATTCCTTATATCGGATCCCAACCGCCATGGTTAATTACAAATTTATGTTGACCACAATATTTAGCGTTAATTTAATGTCACTTTTTTTCGACCAGAGTCATGTTAAACAACGGAGTAAATCCACAAAACAAAAAAATAAAAAAAAACAAAACAAATTAAAATAAAAATTGTTACCCAGACAAACTATCCATGGTTTAGTTTGAATTTTCAAAACGGAATGTCTCTACATTTCAACTATTTGTCCCGACTAACTGGCTGACAAACTATTCAAAGTCTAGTTGGAATTTTCAATTCATTTATTTGAAAAAGTAAAGTCTCTCTATATAGAATTGTTCATGGTAGTAAACCCATGGGCTGGAGGTGTACACGGGGTTACGGTATATTCCACCGGAAAGTGTGGAAAAAGCGGGAAAACAAGTTTGTATGCAACTTTTTTGTTTACCATTCAATCGTTTTGTGGGTGGATTTTGTGGATGAAGATTCGGATTCAAATTCGATCCCAAGGATCCTTAGGAAAAGTGATTTGAGACTTGTTTCACATTTTTCGGTAAGTCCAAGCTTGCTTGAGTTTGGCGGAAAACTTGCAACTTGTTGTTTATAATCCGATCGCCTTCAAACTCATTTTGAAATTTATTCAAAATCCACGGCTCTTGGATGGACTTTAAGCTTATTTTAGACGTTGAAATAATGTTAATATGGGTAGATTTTAAATAGCCGCTGATAAATTATAAAAGCATATCTATAATGTCACGCATCCCACAAAAATCATATTACCATAAAAAATGCACTTTTAAATCCTAACCTCCTTTAACTTTTTCGAAAAGTTTCGGTGAATTTTTGAAGAGTTGTATGTATTTGAAAAATAACTAAAGCAACGAGAGGGACTGTGAGTTTCTGAGCTTGTGTTTATAATTGATGTTTAATTAATTAATTAATTAATAAGAAGAATAATTAACGCATTAATTAATTAATACAGTTTTCTATGTATTTTTTGAAGTTGACAAGAATAACACAAACAATTTCGATACTGCTTGCATTTTCAATATTATTAATGCAGCCCGGGCTAAGACGGGTAATTTTTATACCCTGAACCCATCAAAAATGGGTATAAGGGTATATTGTATTTGTGCAAAATCCAAATGTATGTAACAGGCAGAAGGAAGCTTCTCCGACCCCACAAAGTATATATTCTTGATCAGCATAAATAGCCGAGTCGATCTAGCCATGTCCGTCTGTCTGTCCGTCCGTATGTATGAACGCAAGGATCTCAGAACCTATAAGAGCTAGAGAAATTTTAGATGTAGATGCTCCTAGTTCCCGAACAGATCGAGTTTGTTTCCGATAATCGATAACTTACTCCGTTTCGAAGCAATCGATAAAAATCGATATCGATATCCTGTTTTTTAAGCAATTTTGGTAAATAATAAGAGCTAGAGTCACCAAACTTGACATATAGCTTCTATAATAGAATATATATATGCATTTGATGTTGGAAGTAGAGGGTTCAGGGTATCCCCTAGTCGGGAGCTCCCGACTAGAACCTCTTGTTTGTAGTAGTGTTAGGTTTATTGATACATATCCATTTTATATTGTCTGAATTTAAATGATTTCAATGCTATTTCAATCAATAATCATGTGTTAGGTTTATGACCAAAAGCTTGCACTGGCATGGTTCGTGTCTCCGCTAGTACCGTTACACAAGCGAAAGCTCTCGCTCAACAGCGGGCTATCCTTTGGAGCAGAAACTCTTGTTCGTTTTGCGCAGCTTCAGCCACCAATCGAAGTCGTTCTTGATTACCTTCGGCTTTGCATCCTCCTCAAAGTCATCGCGATTCCGCTCCAGAGCGATTGCCCGTCGTTGGGCCCGCATGCCGGCTTCGGTTTTTAGATTATCCTTGGGCTTGCAGATTAGGGAGCGTGACCATTCCTTAGTTTTCCTCAAAGGTGCCATAACAAATGCCAATCTTTATGAAACACAAGTAATTTCGTTTATTTTAGGTTTGTTTCTCGAGAAAACTCATCTCAAAAAACTGATTTAATCTCCAACGAAAATATAACTGGAATTTCAAATAGCTCAAAGCCAGTTTCAGTTGTAAGCTAATCCTGAATTATCCTGAACCAAACAAAAATTCGAAATTGAAATTGATTTTGAAAATATATAACCGTCTGTTCGTCTGTATAAACGCGTCAATCTTGGCAACATTATATAGACATAGGCATATCCTATATAGACATAGCTCGAAATTTCCCACTTCCATAACTCGCTCAAAACTCAACCCATTTTCATAAGGTTTGGATCTTGTTTCATGGTTTGGCCTCTAGATCAATTAGGTATCTAAAACTGGAAACAATTTATCTGGTAAAAATTCATGTGAAAATAGTACCCTCATATATCTTATATAGACATGGGTCGAAATTTCGTACTCCTATAGCTCGGTCTAAAGTCAATCGGGCTTACCCGCAAGTTAATTGATATTCGAGGACTAATTAACGTAATACCTGGTATTAGCCGGCCCTTCCAAGGGCGTGTTGGGGTATGCCTGGAACGCATGGAATTGGAACAGGCCCCAATTCCTTGCCACGCCCATTTCGCCCTGTTTTCAGCTCTGTTTTCACTTAGCGAAGTGGATTGCAGCAATAGCTGAATGACATTTCAAATTGTGTTTTTGGTTTTTCCACCAATTTTCCACAAATAATTAAGACAAACTTAAGTCCGAACGGAACTCTGAAACAAGCAACCCACCCAGAAATAAACAGAGAAATGTTGCCTCGAATTTCTGTTGGACAATAAGCAAAAAACAACAACGCAGACTTAAAGACAAAGAAGAAGCAAAACAAACTTTAAGTCAATACAGTACCTACACATAAAAAAAAAAACAAAATAAATAAAAATAAAACAATACGAACAAAGTAGAAGAGGAAGCAGCACGGGATGGGCAGCAAACTAAAGCAAACCCCCCGGCAGCCCGCTAGAGGGCGAGCTTGCCAGAAAAGCAAAAGGAAGAAGCAGCACAAGTAAAACAAAACGTAAATGTGTGTAGATGTCAGTGTGGGTGTGTGTGTGTGTGTGTGTGGGTGTGGGTGGGTTAACTGGCAACGGTACGGGCAAACGTAAATCAAACAAAAATAAAACAAAGCAAAACAAATAAAATAAACAAAACTACGCAGAAGTAGCAGGCAGACGTCAACGACAACGACAGCGACGCCGACGACGACGACGACGGCGACGGCAAACAAGGAGCAGCAGAAACAACAGCAGAGTGGAAAGGGCAGGGGACATAAAAGAATGAAAGAAGCCAAAGCAAAACAAGCAAATGAAATTGTACAAAACATGGCAATGCAGCGATAATTATGATGATACTAATGATGATGATGATGATGATTAAGCAAACGAAGCAAATTCCGTTAGCTAAAACAAACATTTGCCAATGTTCTCAACAAACTTTTGGGGGCAACAAAACGAAATTGAAAATGCACCCAGCACTAGGCAGCGGATGGGCGGCACTCTGGTGGGCGGCAACAGGGCTGGGCCGAACTTAAGTTTGAGTTCAAAAACAGTTCAACTTATACGCTGCACTGTACATGTATATGTATGCATGTATATGTATTTGTTGTGTTGCTTTTGCTTTTGCTCTGTGCGCTCTACAAACAAAGTAGTCCCCGATCTCGCCCTCTCCCGCAGGGCTGTCATCTCGCTCGCTCTCCCGCTCGCTCGCTCACTCGCTCACTCGCTCTCTCGCTCGCTCTGCTGCGTCCGCTACCCTTCTGACTGCTCCTAAGGCAAATGTATGCGTAAATAAGCATTTTACAACAACATGGCCGACCTTGTTGTTGCTGCTGTTGCTCTACCTTGCTTCTATGCAATGCTGAAAGGGGTATATTGCAGTTGTGCAAATGAATATTACAGCTAATTTTGAAAGTATATACAAATATTTATACTTCAAGAGTCGACTCAATCGTGGCACGTTCAAATCAGGCTCTGAACTGAACGCAGGATACAAATTTACTTTAACGGACTTTTTGAAATCCCAATTTACAAAAAAAAACGATACAAATTTAAAACAGTGTTGAAAAGTACAAAATGTTCTGGACTTATGTTTCGTTTTCTTAAATATATATCAATCATTGACATCGTTTCAAATTTCCGCAAGTTAGAATTACGATTTCGTATATACACCTGCTCTCAGTTATCATTCCATATACCTGTGGAAGGTACTCTTATTTTGTGCATATGACAGAAAAAACTTGGAAAGTAGTTTTTATAAAGATCTCAATCTATGTCTATGTATATGGTTTTTAAAGAATTTTGACCAAACTCAAAAAATAATAACAATATTTTATATGCTTATAATTTGTATATCAACAAAATATAACATATTTTCTCAGAATCAAGTTTGCAAATAAAAACATATTTATTTAAATATACCAAAATTCTATAATTGTTTTCGCTTCGTTTTCGAGCACTTGAAATTAGTATTCAACTGAATATTTAGATATTTGGGCCAACAAAAGATCTAAAGTCAGCTAAAATAAATAAATAAATAAAAAAAAAATGTATTTTTACCGTGTGGCAATACAATTCGCACAATAGTTTCAACAATACTTCTTCACGTTGGATGTGCTCGAATGGGATATACCCTGTACCGTGATGGCCTTATGCATGTTCCAAACAAATTCAATACAAAGAACTTAAATTACTTATCATACATTCAATATTCAATTACTTTACCAAATAGACTTCATCATCCTCTCATCATGTTTAGGAAGTGGAGAGAGAGGGAACGTGGAGAGATAAGGAGAACAAAACATTAGCTCGAATATCGTATCGTCTATAACAGCTTACGATATAAAATTGCGAGCTCTAGTTGACGTGATGTTCAATATAAATAACTTAAAATTGACAATCATGAATACATATATATATATATATATAAACATCATATATTCATTCAATAACTACACCAAATAGACTTCATCATCCTCTCATCTTGCTTAGGAAGTGGAGAGAGAGAGAGAGAACGTGGAGAGATAAGGAGAACAAAACATTAGCTCGAATATCGTATCGTCTACAACAGCTTACGATATAAAATTACGAGCTCTAGTTGACGAGATCGCGATGTTTTTACAGCTGCATTCATCTTACATAACCTTTTGAACCCATTGAAAGTGAGTACAGGGTATTATGAGACATTATAATAATAATAATAATAATAACAATAAAACAATAACTTAAACAGCCAATTACCAAATATATCTGAAAGCAGCTGCTTCTTGTATTTCAAGGGTCGCCCGCAGCCAACAACCCTGGACTGGAGCGGGGGGGGGTCAAGCATTCCGGAGAAGACGAGTAAGGTCAACTGTGGCAAAGTGTGGCAGCCGCCCACGCGGGTGGCACGTGTTTTCAGGGAGTTGCAGTGCAAAAAATGCTTAATTAATTAATTTTGGCATTGCTGCGCTGCGCTTGCAATTTTCTGTGAATTGTTTATATGTCATTGTAATTGTTTACAGCTGTACTTTGGACAAAATTACAGAGCTAATGAAAATAAAAAAGAAAAACTTTCCTGTTAAAAAAGCGACGATAAAAAAGAAAAACCATTTTTGCTGTATGCACACAAAATACACAACGTTCGTGGCAGAGGGAATTGCGGGTGAGGCTAGTTCATGTCATGTTCGCATTCGTATTCGCATTTTGCTGGCCCAAAAAGTAGAATAACAAAAACACGCGTATTTTCGTCAAAACAATGTCAACATGGACAGCAGTTCAACGTGAAGCAAATAGCCAAAAACAACAACAACAACAACAACGACAATTATAATGCAACTCGTGCTGCCCAATTCTACCATGGGAAGCAGCTGCGAGTCGAGCTCTGGTCGAAACTCTGACAGCTCGACCCACACTTTGAGAAATGCGATTAGCTCGGCTGTTTATCGTACGATATTCATACGAAATTCGCAGGGCTTAGATATGTTATCCAAATATGTTAACATGCCAAGATGCGGGACTGTACTCTTCCAATTGATTTCAATTCAAGATAAACGAGTTAAATACTAAATTGTTGCTCTGGTGAAATCTACTCCTTAAATTTATACTCATCATTTTCTGAATACCCACACTTTGGGAAATTACGAAATTTGTAGGGCTTAGACATGTTATCGAAATATGTTAACATGTTAACATGCCAAGATGCGGGACTGTACTCTTCCAATTGATTTCAATTCAAGATAAACGAGTGAAATACTAAATTGTTGCTCTGATAGAATCTGCTCTGTGCATTTATATTCATCATTTTCTGAATACGAGAAGGATTATCGATAAGTAGAAATTAACTTGATCTGTCTGCTATATTGAAAATAAATCGAAGCAAAAACTTTGTTCGAAATACATAAGAAATGCATTTACCCTTAACATAACATACATTTACATATGTTAACATAGGCCAGTTCTGTTAAAATAACAGCTGTCTTGCAGAAATGTAACTCATTAAATTGCATGAACACTTTAAACAAATTAAAAAGCTAATTAAAGCCAAAAGTAAGTCCTGATCCGATTGCTTTTAACTCTGTGAGCCTTCATATTTCAATATATAGAGTTAAAGTTTGGTAAGGAACCTTTTACACCTTAAACATACAGCTATCAATGCGAAATGTGCCAGTTCCGACACTTTTTGTAAAATTTCCAAAATGCCCGAACTTTTGGCAAAGCAGATGTCTATGCAATTTGCCTTTAAGAGAATAGAACTGCAGATTTTAATTGTTTTCATGGTCAAGAACTAACAGAGTAATTCGTAAGAACTTATCGTCGCAATGGCAGAAACGTACTAAAAATCGGTCACTATTTGAGATAAGAACCCGAAATTGTTTTCTAAAATTATTTTCTACAAACAGAAAACAGTTTAATCGAAACCTGAAAAGGCAAAAATAAAGAAGGGTGTGTAGATATATATTTCTTGTTTTTACTGATAGTATAAATTACTTGTAATATAAAAAAAAGGCGTTGCCAAGCCTAACTTTTTATAAAATACTTTCCTACAATGCCTTGAACTGTTTTTAAAAAACACAAAACAAAAAGCTGCCTGATTCCTTGAGCTATTGCATTTTTCTAGAAAAACGCCAGGACTACTCCATAGTGCACTGAAACTCTATTTTCATCATAATAACGGGGCACGTATGGCTCAATAGCTGGCGTGTGTGCGTGTGTGTGTGTGTGTAGGTGTGCGTGGGCTAGTACAGTAGCCCCCTCCGCCCCGTCGAATGCGATGATGTGCACGGGCAAAAAACACAAATGCGAAAAGTGTTACATACAATCAGGCGCGAGGCTTATAAGTAGAGGAAAATGGCGAGAGAGCGGGCAAACAACAAATTGTTGTTGATTTCCGCTTTCCGTGTTGCTTTCCTTTTTTCCTTTAACTCTTTTCCAGCACACAAACAAACAGAAGTATTTGTGTTTTGTTTTCAGCGAGGCGAAGAAAAAAATGCAACGCTCGTGCGATGAATTTTTCAAATTTTAAAAATTGATCGTCGTGTCTATAAACAGCAGACTTGGAGATGCCCTAGTCCGAACTACAATCGGGTAGGGTATATAGGGTGCTCACATGCAAAAGAAATAAGAGACACACTCGTGATGCTTCAACTAATTTTGCTTTTCGTTTTTTTTTTTTTAAGTCCCTTTCTACCAACAAAATATGCACAAATAGTAGCATAATTATTCTGTGAACAGGCTGAAGGAGGCCAACAATTACATCCAACTTCATTTTTCAATATAAACCTCTTAATTTAACAACAAAGTCAGTAAAGATTTCGTAACAAGAACTTAAAAGTAATTAAATTGCATTCTTTTTTTTAAGTAAGGTCACATTTTCCAGGCATAAAAGTGTGTACACACTTTTTATAGCCTTGTTGTGAATATGTACAATTACAAAATTTGGACTAAAACTTAATGCCCGCCCACGCAAATCACAAAATATATGTTTTTTCACAATTTTACAATTTGAGTGACCAACTTTAGTTAAAAATTTACTAATTAGCTCTTCTTCTTCGTTCTAAAAATATATATGAAATAACTGCCAACTGTAAGTTAGGCAAAAGCTTAAAAGTTGATTGAAAAACAATCAAATACGAAAACCTCGAAACATGAACCAGAAATTGGTGCACGGAACAGATCAGTTTTGGAAAGAGACAGAGAGAGAGAGAGAGAGAGAGAGAGAGAGAGAGAGAGAGAGAGAGAGCGCGAAAGAAACCGTTGGAATAATTGCATGCGACAAACGAAACCCAATAATTCAAATATAAAGTCTCCAGCTCCTAGGGTTTCCGATATCTTGGTCTATTTCGCGAAAGCTTGATGAGTTCAACATATATGAGCTACAAGAACAAATTATGCATATGTATGTATGTATGCATGTATGTATGTATGTATGTATGTATGTATGTTTGTATGTATGTGAGTGGGTTGCAACGAAACGCTTCTAACAAGTTTTTTATACGCCTGCGCCAATTGTTAAAATACGAAATCGCAGTCCGCGCACTGCGTATTCGCACGCGCACACACACACACACACACACACACACAAATATCCTACGTCTGCATACATATGCATGTATGCACAGTTTTGAGAATATGTATGTATGTATATATGCACGCATATTCTTATGTATGTAATTAAGCAATTAAGTATGTTAATACACATGTGTACGTACTGTTAAACACACATACACACAAATTGATATATATGCATGCATGTATATGTACATACATACATATGTAGGCACATACATAGTACATTGTATTTATCTCTCTCACCTTCCCTTTCGCCTAGCTGTGCGACAACAGCAGCAAATAATTAAGTTCATTGCTTCTATTTGCGTATTGGCTGCCTTGCATATTTCTTCGCTGTTGTTGTTGTTGTTGTTGTCGTTTTTGCATATTTTTGTAGCTCAGCAACAAAAGCGACCATCGGCAAAAAGTAAACAACAATAACAACGAAACAGCACATGGGGCTCATCTTCATTAGCCCTGCTTTCGTCTGTCTGGTCGCCTTGCTTTTGTCTCGCTCTGCCGTGCTGCTGTCTCCTACTGACCCCTCCCCCTTCCACGACTCAACTTTCTTGCATTGCCTCTGCCAGGGGCTGGCGTTGGCGCAAAAAAAAAACCTTGTTGTTTACTTGGAATGCCAGCGTTGCCTTTGTTTTTGTCGTCGCTGCCACTGATGTTTACACAATTCCACAACCGAAGTCCAACAATAAAAAAGCAAGCAGCGCGAAAAGCTCAAAAGAAGCAGCGACGCCAGCGTCGGCATAATGACCTTCAGCGACGTTGACGTCGGCGTTAGCATCGCTGCTGGCGTCTGTGCTGGGGGATTGGGCTGACTTGGTTATTGCTCGGGTCAGGTCTCTTTGCCGCCCACACGACTTAATTTCTCTTAGTCTCACGTCCGCGCCCACGCACGCACGAAGTAAACAAGCAGCGACTGCGCTGCTCGCGTCGCGCACGTTGCCATTGCTTCCTAGTTGCAATTGCTTCCACCGACTCTCACAAATACACTCGCACATGCATACACACAAAACTACAGAGTACATTACAGCATGGCAGTTGCGTTCGCTCTCTTTTAGGCGTTCTCTCTCTCTCTCTCTCTCTCTCTCTCGCTCTCTCTCTCTCTCTTTGTTTGCGCTGCTGTGCAAACAAGTGTTTGTTTGCCGCGTCATAAACGGTCGAGGGGAAGCTTCGTCCTTATCAAACACAACTTTGCCCACACCCACCCATCACATGTTTAAATTACAACTAGGCCATCAACGAGCTTTCTTTACCGTTAACTTGAAGAGTCCACAAGCAAAAGCTTCGTATTTATAGCAATCGAATTTGTACTAATTAGCATTTCGCATTGCTTTAATTTCACTGTGGGCATAACACGCATTTGGGTTATGCAAATCTTACCATATTTATTTATATCTAAAGCATAGTACCCGGCGCTGCCCGGTTCAAGTCTTATTACATCGATTTATACGTAAATTGATTCATAAACAAAGCACAAAATTATTGCATTGATAAAGCTGCAAATTCCCGAAAACGCTTTAAGATCTGATAGATCTGACTTTGTTCAAAAATTGCAAGTTAAAATTGATAACATTGCACTGAAGATCCTTAACGAACAGCAAGTCCATACTTTTAGAGACCCTCCGATCAACGCTTTCATACATATATAAGGACAGAGAGAGAGAGAGAGAGAGGGTATAGGGTATTCTGCATTCATGTACATACATGTATGTATGTATGAGCTTTTCTCCAAGACAAGTACAGAAAAAGTTTTCTGTTACAGTTAATCAAAACAAATCAGGAAACTTTTGGCAACCGATAGTTATGCACCATTAACGGAATTGCAATAAAAGCGAATACAAGTAGAAGAAAGAAAGCGCAATGAAGTTCTGCCGCTCCGGGTGTTGCCTAGCCGCACGTGAGACCTGCGCACGAGAGAGTGAGCAATTAAAAGAAGAAGAACAGTAGCTTTTGCACCGCCCACGCAAAGAGTGAAAACGCAATGCACTTTGGCAACGGCGCTGACTGTGAGCAGCGCCGGAGGCTACAAAAACAAAACAGCTGCCGCTGAGACTAACGCAAGCAATAACAATTTATACGATATACAAACGTACGTACATGTATGTATGTATGTATGTACAAGCATGTATGCATGTGCATACAAATACATTTTGTTTGTAGAATAACAACTGCAAAATACTCTGGCAGCGGCACTCAAGGCGAGCAAGTGTATGCACATGCATACATTCATATGTTTATTTGCGTGTACGTGCATACATACATATGTATGTAAGTATGTACAAAGTATGTCCATATGCATGCGTGTTGTATGTATGTGTACCAAAATTGCATACACTTACGTATGTATGTGCATATGTTATATTGATGTACATTCATCCTTATACAATGAGATATCTAAATATGTACATGTACGTATGTACAAAGATACATACGTACATACATATGTACATACATACAAGCGTATATAAGTCAGCGTCAGCAGCGTTAGCAGAAGACGGAAATACCAAACCAACGATGACGAACGTAAAAACTACGCACCAAGCAACAACAAAAGCACCAACAATAAAACACGGCACGAAAAACAAACAAACATACAGTGAGCTACGATGGGTGCGAGCGAGACAGCAGCTGCATACATACATACATATATAAATGGGCGATAGGAAGAGTAGCGCAGCACCTGCCTGGCAGAGCGAACCACACACCCAACTCCCCAAACCCCTTCGTCTACTCAGCTAACGAGCAAACAAAATTAAACAAAAACAAATATCTAAGCAATGGCAGATTGAGGCAAAACTCTATCAACCTATAGAAATTTTACTACGCCGTAGTAGAAATTTTTAGATGTATTTATTGTAGCGTTATTTTCTGCCCTCGTTCGTTCAACTCGACCTCGCAACAGCCGCCACCCGCTGCTCTATCGACTGGGTCCAAACCTGAACCGCTCCTGTCTACTTGTTTGTTTAATTTTTTGCCATTTCTGCTTCGCATTCTATTTGTTTGTTTGACTCGCTGCGCATGTGTTGGTGCCAAGAAGCAACTAGCGTTCGTGCGAGGGCTGTTAAATGGGCTTTGAAACATGCTCTCGCACTGGACATTCACTACGCTAAAACTCATACTTATTTATAAACTATTATACTAAATATAATATAAATATCTATAAGTATTTATACACACAGATGTACTCACATGCTTGTCATGATTACTGTTGATTATTCTTGGAACGCACTCACATACATGTATAGCTGCCCTCGTTTTTGTGTTTTGGCGCGTACTCTGTTGCTGTTGTTTTTTAAGCATGACAAAGCACCGTACAATTTCACAACAGCAACTTCATTATGATGTTCGGCTTGTTTTTCCACGAAACAACTGTTTACCGAACGTGGCGGCTCTGCCGCTGCAGACGTCAACAGCGCAGTGGTGGCGCTGTCTGTTCTCTGTGCATACATATACGTGTGTATGCGTGTGTGTGTGTGTGTATGTGTATGTGTGCGTACGTTGTGCTTGTTTCATTCAAACGTCCACCGAGAAATTTCATTTCAATACGCAGCCCAGCCAACGACGCGTCGCAGTCGTCGCATTTGTAGGTTCGTTACAAATCGATTTCGATAAGTTTGTCAGTGTTTGTCGGGAAAAAGCGACGCACAGTTTAGATTCAGACGTTAGCTGGTGTGGTTCGCGAGCGGTTGTATCAGAGCGAGAGAGAGTGCGATTTAGGCGCGCAGAAGAAACTAGCGGTAACGGTAACATCGCTCTGCTTCTGAATAACAAGTGCGGGGGAGGCGAGGTGCCATTAACAGCAGCAGCAATCTGCCTGTTGTTCTCGTTGTTCGTGCTGTTGTTGCTCGTGTTGTTGTTGTTATTGTGTGTTTGCTGAACAAATAAAGGAAAAACAAATACATATGCCAATGAAGAAACGGCTCTAATATGTTGTTTCGAGAATGGAATGCTAATAAAAATACAACAAATTCTGAAATGTAAAATAAAATGTACGCACAGGCAAACTACGCTTTAAATATTTAAATACGTTTAACATATATTTTAATACATATATATGTATATTATTATTTTTTATACACTATCTCTCGCTGTGTGCGTTCGAGTGTTTACGGTTTGTTTTTTACGTGCCTTGAGATTTATTTTTAAGTTTTTGATCCGATTTTTTGTTGTTTACTTGTTGCGTTGTTTGACTATTTACTTGATTTTCGAAAATGACACAAGTGGAAGGCAGGCAAAGCGTATGTCTATTATCATACCGGGTCTTAACATACGTCTTACATGTATGATCACTGTTAACTCTCGATTCCTGTTATCAAATACTTTGTGGGAAACAAAATGTTTCTGCTTGTAAAATCGAATATTTTGTAAGCAATTTCCTTGCAATTAAGCAATAAAGTGAAGTTAATTATGTTTAATAATAAAAAAGACGTCATAAATATTTATGAATATAAATACTTGAATTGACTGTGGAAAGTTGAATTGCAATAAAAAGTTTCTAAATAAAAAAACCCAATCAGATTTAAATCAACTGATTTACTTGGAAATGAAAAAAAAACATGCACGCTAATTAATTTGTGGAAAATCCAATGTCATAAACAACTACAAGAAAAAAAAACCCTGGAAACACATGCAATTTGCACTAAATCCCATAAAACTATGCTACCTTCAAAAACACTGAAAAAAATAATTGAGCAAATGCTTAAAAACGACAAAATATGTTGCCCAAGTGCACTAAAATAACATTTTTAAATAAATTGAACGCTGAATCAACAAAATCAAATGCAGATCCATGTGAATATTGCAAGAAACTAAAAAAAACCGTGCAACTTCAGTTTACAGTGTTTTTCCCCTGTATGCGTGTGTGTGTGTGTGTGTGCGAGTGTGTCTTTGTGTACTCGCCTACCGTTATGATTCACCCAGCTGTTTGCGCAGCAGCATTTGCGCTCTGCGCAAATGTTCTGAGCAAAGGCATTAATACATATACTAAGGCACTTATTAAATGCAATGCGTGCTAAGCTAAATAATCAAGCGAACAGTCGCGACGCCGAACGAACGAACAACTTACCAGGAAGCAAATCGGGCGACAAAGATAGATGTCAAATCGAGATGTCGCACACATACACGCATACACTAACAGTAATATGCATGTGCGTGTGTGTGTGTGTGTGTGTGTGTGTGTGTACATAGCCCGCCGCGCAGTGTTGTCGTCTGAAAGCGCACGTGTCCCTGCTTAATTATGTCCGTGTGAGTGCGAGCATGTGCGTGTGTGTGTGTGTAAAAAGCTTCCGTCTATTGTGAATAACTGGACTGTTATCGATGTTGTTATTTTCGCTGTGACTTGTGACATTTGCACAAACGTTTACATGCCAAGAGAATTTCTTTCGAAAATGTTAATTCATGGCCAGGAAAAGCGAACGAACGGTTTGTCATTGAATACATATTGAACGACGTGAAAAACAACTTTGAGTCTTTTCCGAGCAATCGTTTAATACGTGCGAATAGCTAGACTAACAATGAGTAGCCCATAAGATTGTGAATACATTTTGTCCACGGGCTTCAATAAGGATCACAGGAATGTTTTTGTTTCAAGTCAAAGAAAGAGTTTTTTATGCGATTTGTTGTCAAAAAAAAAACAATTACATTTTACACTGAACAAAAAGATTTTGAAATAGTTGATCAACTGAAAGTTGTCAACTAGTCAGTGCATTTTATACCCTGTTCACAAAGTGATTAACAAGAGTATATGGGTTTCGTGCAATGTGCGTCTAGTTCGATTGGGGCGCTATTGGGGTCATGGGGTCATGGAATATGCATGGGTCAGCTAAAGTGTTTAGACAATTTGTCAATAATTCATATCTACGACAAATGTCGAGAAAAGAAAATTAATGAAAATCAACTATTATTGCGAATAACCTAAATAACAAATTGGCATAAAAAAAAAGCTTGTTATACTTAGACTAGAATACCCTGTAATGCTTATTGTTATCGATAGAAAGAGATTTTGACAAAATTGTAGAGTTAAGTGTGTATAAAGACGTGCTAAACTAGTCGGTTTAATCCTACAGGGTATTCTATTGGCAGTTCATTTGAGATCGATTTCAGCCGTGATTTTTTATATAGAACTTATACCATTCCCATGATCGTGATATTGTATAAAACTTGATTGTGTGTTTACGACTTTAGACGCTGACTAGTTAAATGGATTAACTAAATGATTCCTCGATTAATCAAAGAGCGCAGTTTGATGACAATCAGGATCTTAGTTTACTGAAAGCAGGACAAATATGAATTGTTTCTGTACAGATTAAATAGGATAGATATAGAAAGCATCCTGTTGTAAAGTCAATCAAATTTCAACACTAGAAATCCAATAAAAATTCCACTCTACTATCCCAAAAGCCGAACAAATCCTAGATTAAGCTAAAAGTAAACAACAAATTTGAAACCAAGTTCCAAATCAAAGATTCGCATTCGATTTACAGTAAAGAGATTTGGAATAAAACCCTATTTTCTCTATCTTTCTTTCGGGCATCTATTTGTGTTTAAGATAGATTTAAGACAGTTGCTTTTATCATTTATCCAACTAATTACTAAATCGAACTTGTTTTTTTCCCGATTGCAGTGTCGCGAGAGTATGATTAAAAGCCAGGTGATAAAATGTTGATTGAATGCATTTCGCGCAGCATTCCCTAAACAAATAGATCAGGAGAAAGTAAAGAACTGAGTTCCCGAACAAAATAAAACCTTATATCAAAAGCAGCTAGCGGGGAGCGGAAAGTGGAGAGCGGAAAGTGGAGAGTGGAGAGAAGCAAATGAACTTCAATCCGGATAGCTTTGTGACCGTCCAAAACGTGCATCATCCTTACCATCAGCGGGAGCGACACAACATCCCATTGCCGCCGAACTACGGAAGACAATCGGCAGTCGCGGTGGGGATCGAGATCGCCATCGGGTCAGGCGGCGCCAGGAGGAGCAGCGGCGGTGGTAGCAGTTCACCTAAAATCATGGAATGGACCAACGACGATGCATTAGAGCTTATCGAACAGTATCGCTGCCACACCGAGCTGTGGAATCGCGCCGATCCCAAGTACAAGGATAAGCTGTGCCGCTTCCGGGCATGGTCCGAGATCGCCGATCGCTTTGGCTGCAGCAAGGCCGAGGTGGAGCGCAAAATGAACGTTCTGCTCACACAGTACCGACGCGAGAAGCACAAGATGTTTGTCAAAATCTATCAGGGCATACAGCCCAATCCGTCCAAGTGGTATGCCTTCAAGCGCTTCGACTTCATGGAAGCCGGCGGCGGCAGCCTCAGCGGACTGCCCACCAGCGCCACAGTTGGCGGCGTAGCCAGCTCCTCCTCCTCCTCCGCAACCAGCAACACGCACAACGGACTCAATGGCCTGGCCGCTGCCGCGGTCGCTGCCGCTGCCTACGACAGCAGCACCATCGCGGCAGCGGCCAACGGCGGAGCCACCGGGCCGATTGGATGTGCTGGTGGTGCCACGACAACCACAACTGGAGCGCCTGCATCGCAGCACAGACGCATCAAAACCAAAGAGCTGAAATATTTCGGAGCGGTGAGTAATCGGCGCAAAAAATAACCGAATGCGTAAGCGTTTCTGCCAATGACAAAGACCCAAACAGTGACAAACAAACAACAGAATTGAGAGCGGAAAACGGAGAGCGGAGAGCGACGGCGGCGACCATTGGCTAGCCAAGCGGACCTTTAACCCATTCGTGCCCCACGGGCTCGCATCACCCCTTCGGGTGTTCGTTCTCTCTGAGCAGAAACATGACTTCCACATAAACGAATTTTTAGAATAGGTGCAATCTCTAGTATTATCTTCTGCTCACCTCAGCTCCCATTTTTCTTTCAATCATGATTGTTGAGCTTCAAATGGCCGAGCATTAAATTGCCAAGCTTTGTATGTTTATACAAAATATTTGCATATGTGTGTGTGTGCACACATGTATCTACATTTTTGACAGATTTTAAAATATTTTAACCTTTTTAACAATACACAAACTTGATAACTTTTATATAAATATTAAAAAATACTATAGTAAGGCCATTTTAAGGTGGCACCTCTTACGATAGTTTTGCAGCAGTCGCGCACACACACACACACTAACAAACACATGTGTATTCACTCTCGTTGTCATTCGGGTGTTAATTTCAATCAAAAGCGCAAAGTTAACTGTGCTGAATACGCTGACTGAGAGTCAAATGGAACGCCATGTGCGCAAGTGACTTGCTGTTTCTGCTGCCGACAGCGAGAGAGAACGAGAGGGAGAGAGCAGCAGCATTTGCCTCTCCTGTCTCTCTCACAATTATTGTCCGGATCGTTTTGTGTGTGTGTGTGTGTGCATGTGTTCTGTTGTTGACGATCAAAACAGAATTAAAATTTTACGCATAAATTTTTCTTAGGAACTTGCCGTTGTGTGCGTGAGGTATTGCCCTGACTTACGCGAGAATCTGTGCACATGCATACATATGCATATATGTATGTATTTAAATAATGTGCACCGTGTGCGTGAGTTGTTTTTATGTATTTGCTTTGTCGCGCCAAGCAAGCAAGCTGAGGGGAACGAGCGCTGCTGACATTTCGTCGCCGCTGTCGCTGCTCGCTCACATGCTCTGCTTTTGTCTGATGAAATGTTTGTTTTGCACGGCAAAATGCGCGTAGCACTTGCCGTCGTTGTTGTGATGTTTTGGTTTGTGGTTGCCCCGTGGCCTCCCCGCGCGTGTACCTCTCACACGCGCTTGTGCATGAATGTGTGCGTGCGTATATGTGCATATAAAAACATTTGTAGGTGCATGTGTGTATGTATGTGTTTGATTGTAATTCGTTTGCTGTTCATTTTCCTTGTGCGCTTTTGTTTTTATTTTTACTTGGGCCTGTGGTTTTCATTTGTTTTGTAGTATGTACTGTTGCCGCCGTTGTTGTTTTTGTTGTTTGCTTTTTGCTGTTTCAGTTCTGTTTGTCAGAGTTATCAAAACAAAATGCGAGCAAGCAGCATTATTGTTGTAGTTGCTCCTGTTTTCATTTGCTTTGCTGTTATTTCTAAAAAAATAAATACAGTTTTGTTCTGCGTAAGAATTGGATATTGCCAGAGTGAGTGGGCGTGGTCATGCTAATGCAAGCAACTTGTCCAGATACTCTACTTGTTACGATTATTACTCTTGTAGCGTACATACAGACATACGTACATACGTAAATACATATATTTTACTATATTTCCAGAGGAAAACATAAAATTGCATTCTCCTCGAACTTTTCACACCTGGCTCGCCTACACCTTGCACTTTTTACTGTCTTCTCATGGCTGAGTTGTTTTTGTTTTTCGTCATTATTTGGGCGCCCACGCCCACTATGCTACCCCAAAGCGCACATGCACGTACATGTGTACATATGTATGTGTATGTGTGTATGTAGATAGTGTGTACGTAATTTTGCCCATATTTTACAACTGTTTTGTTGTGGAATTTTCTCCAAGACACCAAATAACAACAATATGTTGTATCTTGTTGTTGTTGCTGGGACTCGCGGCCGCAATGTTGTGGCTATGCCAAGCGGCGACGTTGACGTCGACTCGGAGCTGCGTTGCCGCCGCCACACGCGTTGACTGCGTTTTGATACCGTTGCCCTGCCCCTAGAATTTCATATTGCTGTCGCTAATCCCCCCTCTTTCAGTTTGTTTGTGTTTATAAAATGCACGCCTGTTTCCTATTGTTCCTGTAGATGGAGCAGTAGCAACTGTTGTTGCTGCTGTGTTTGTAATTTGCGTGTTTTGTTTTCTCTCGCATGCGCTTTTATGAAATGCGCTCCCTGCCCCCTGCCCCCCTGCAGCGCGGCGGGACTGAAAAGTGCAAACGCAAATAAGAAGCAGTAGCCGAAGCAGCAGCAGCAGTAAGCAATGCAACCGAAAGCAGCGCAGCAGACTGCGACTGCGACTGCGACGACGACGACGACGGCGACTGCGACTGTGACGCCAGCGCTTGGTTTTGTTTACTCATTCATCGCAAAGTTGCTTAGCTATGCGCGCAGCGTTGCCAGCTTGGCTGAAAATCGACTTTGACGGTGGGGTAAGGTCCACATTAACGGTTTGTTTTCGCGAAAGTTTTGCAAGAATTTGGACTTTTTTGGAGCATTTGCTTGAAAGGGTGTCTTTCAACTTCTGGTAAGAGTTTGTTTGGCAGCATGGACTGATAATAGGTGTGAAACCTATTTAATCAATTGATTCTACAAACAACACAACACAAATATCTTTGGCACGTCGAAAGGTAAATGGCCTCTATAAACACACTTTTGGAACTGTTTTGGACGTAAAGTCAAGTTCGCCAGGAGGCGGCACACATATGGTCAGGACGTGGAGTCCGCAGGCCACTAATCACCAAATTTCTCATGCCCATCTGACATTCCTCTCTTATTTTGACGATTATAAAATATGGGGAAATTGTGCTTATTCATTATTTTTGAGCGATCGTTCCTATGACAGCTATGTTGATTATAAAGTGGTCCGATTCCGACAAAAGTGCTGCTGACTATAGAACTATAGACTCTAGAGTCTTATTTGCATAGAAATAGACTAACAAGGTTCTATCGAAGCGGCTACTGATCAAGAATATACATAGATATATACCCTATGGGGTCAAAGATGTCTTCTTTTTTGACTAATTTGTAATATCCTGACTACGAATTCAAAATTATCGAATAGATTAGTCTTTTTTAAAGGTTGACAAGCTGAACTTTCGGGTCTAGGCTCAATTCCAAAGTTCTTCCACCGAACAAATAGCCAATTCAAACGTATTCCCTGAATCAATTAAATTTTCACAAATATATTTGGAAATGAATTTGAGGTCGATCGGATGGTAAACATAAAAGGTTCTGATATTCGTGTTTTCGCGTTTTTTCCACACTTGCGAGTGGAAAAAGGTAACTGCAGTACAAATGTTAGCTTCCTAGCTCTGAAGGCTTGAACTGTTACCAATTAGTTGGTCCGTTAGTTAGGACAAACAGTTTTTTTGTGTAGAGATGAAAATACCTGTAACTGGTGAAAAAGTGTGACTATTCCAAAATACGACTGTGATGACGCGATGCTCATTCACATTTGGGCGACGTGACGGCGACGAAACTGATGCAGTCTGATGCAGTTTTATGAATGTGAGTGTGTATTAGTTTCGGGCTTGTGGTGCAAAAATACTGTTGTGGGAGAGCGGGGTGGGGGTAGAACAGCTCCATATGTGGTGCCAAAAGGATTAGAGAACACGGTGTGCAGCGTAGTTGTTGTGGGTTATTTATTCGTTGGATTGCATGATAATCAGTTTGTTTACATTTTTCAGTTGCACACGCACACACATGCAGTGAGAGTACATTTTCTACATAAAAGCACACACACGTGCGCACGTAAAGACACACACACGCCTACGTACATGAACATACGTAGGTATATGTGTGTACACACATGCATACACTGAGAGAGAGAGAGAGTTAATTTTGTTAGCGGCTCCGTCTGCTGCTGCGCCACGCAAAAACAAGTCAGACACGCACACATGCACGCTAGCTGTAAATACGTAAACAACAACCAAAAACAGCTGCCGCAATAAAAATAACAACAAAGCAAAACGGCAAGCGACACAAACAACGAATAGCAGTTCAGTTGTTGTTTTTGTGAATTGTAGAAAGTTCTAGGCGCCAGAGACAAGACGATTCAGGGCCCAAAGAGTATAGGCAAATAGAGTGAGAGGAGAACGATCGCTGATGACTGTGCGCATTAGCATGTGTCGTACGCGCCCCGCCAACGTGGGGTAGGTTGTTAATATTAATGAACTGCTGCTGCTGCTGTGTAGCTTTTCATCTTTCCTCTTCTTCGCTCTTCTTCTTCCATGTACGAGATGGGTTGCTCATATTTTCATGTTAAGCTCCGCTCGCATATACGATCGCTCTCTTGCTTACGCTCTCCCAGTCGGCGCACACACACATACAATATAATGCGATAACAATAACAAAAAGCACAGATCTCTCTCTCTCTCGCTCTCTTTGGTGCTTGCGCTCGCCTCTCTTTGACTGTGACGATACGATGTCGCTTTTCAAAACTTACTACGCCGCTAGAAAATTTCGACAATGTGAGTTGCGTTGTCGTCGTTGTCGTGTCGTTCGATCGCAACAAAAGTATTTACCAAACACGCACAAATACGCATAATAAACTTGTTAAATACGTGTAATATCCCTGCACTATGCATTACAATAACGGTAACAGCATCAAAAATAACCAACCTGCGGTATCGTCGCAACGTAGGACAGCTGCTGCTGAGGCACCAACACCAACAAAAACTGTACTAAATATGCTTGAATTCAATTTCTTCTTCTATGCCAACATACATACATATTATTGTCTTGATTGCCCTTAGATTTTTGTAAAGGGTGTGTTGTGTATGTATCTAGCAGATACAGATATCTTCGTGTATAAATAGTATAGGGATTACATATGGAATGTCGGTTCGCGCGACACCTGTTCGTCCTTTGGCAGGTTGCATTCCAGTCCTTTTAGATGTTGGTCGAGCCAAGTGCAGACTTAACTAAATCTCAACTGTTACCATATGAATATGGAGACCTTGGCTATTAAGAGCGAGCTTACACTTCAAAGAGAATATCTATCTATGCTCCTTTCATGTCAAGGAAGCCTGTCAATGTAAGCCTCCTGCTCAGACTTACTTTAACCTCCAACGAATCTATCTTTTAGGTGTTTTGCTCATTTTAAAGCTTTCTTATTTGTATCTGCATAATTGCTAGTCCTCAGCATCTAGATAAGTCAGTTTTTATGGGCAGCTCCAGGCACTCATCCTGTTAGTTCCACGCAGAATTTATTCCTAGAGTCCCTTTTCGTCCACCTCCATAAACTTTGATACTTTCCATAAGGAGAGATCGGAAGTTTCTCAATCTTCTAGTCGTTTCTTCTCTCGTTTCCTTCCCAATGAATTTTGCTTAGATTGGTTTTCAACAAGGTTTTATATCTTATTAATCCTCGATCTTTTTTGGAGCAGAACATTCTTAGAAAACTTCCAGTAAAGTCCCTTAAGATTTATGTATGGGGTTGACACCTTCAGGATTCCGTCTTGGCAGAGCAGAGACTCAGTTTTTTGGAATAGTGGCAGTTCGACGCATCCTGATCTTAAAAAGCTTTTGCCGGAACGAATAAACACTGTCAAAGACTTAATCGTAATCAGTTCCAAAAGGAAATTGTTAGTTTCATTATATCACTTCTTTTTTATTAAATAATAATCTCATTCTTCAGAAATGTAGATTAAAAAGGCGCGGAGCATCGACCTTGTTGTGGGCCCATGGGCTTTATCTTGATATGTTTGTCAGGCATAAAAGCGAGTCTTATTTTTGCGCCGTATTTTTGACAGTCGCATTGATTTTGACCCTGACAATAACTTCTTTTTGGTCTTACCTTGTTTCCTTTGCAGATGGGCCTGAATATACCCATGCTGATAGCAAGTAGTCAAACACAGCTGGACAACTGGAACACGGCGGGTCAGTACTCGCCGCCGATAGGCAGTGCCGGCGGCGGAGCCGGAGGCATACCCAGTTCTCAGCCGCAGCAGCTGCGCGTTGCTCTGCCCATGTCTTATGGCGCTGCCAGCGGCACGCCCTACACGGTCGGAGGCGGCGGCGGAGGGGGCGGCAGCAGCAGCAGCGAGTTCCAGCCTAGTCCGCACAAGACCGTCGACACGTCGGATAACGAAGACAACCCGATGAGGGACGAGGCGGCGTTGACGGCGACAGCGAGCGCGCTGGGGCAGCTGGCGGCCAAAGTGGAACGCCGCTCGCCGGTCTCCTCCAGCATGGGCGCAGGCAGAGGCAGTGAAGACGGCGGCTTGGGTAACGCGCACGGTGCAACCGAGAATCCTGGCTGTGATCAGGCGCTGGTTGCAGTCGCCCTGAGCGAGGCCGGGTCTAGTCCAATACCCAACACCAACACCAATACGAACATGCACGAGGCGCACAAGAATCATCTGCTGCAGTCGAGTCCTGCGTCAGCACGTGCGGCAACACCTCGTCATGCGCACGAGCAACTGCATCATGGCCACCATGCGCTGCAGCATCATGCTCATGGGCAGCACCCGGATGAGCTGGATATCAAACAGGAGCTGGTTGACTACTTTCATCCCCCGTCCGTGTCCGCAGCTCCACCACCGCCAGACTCACATCGTTCCTATAGCTCGGCCGGCGAGGAAAGCCGCCTCCATCTGGACATGGCGCAGGATCTGCGTGTGGCCCAGGCCAAGGCGCAGGCCAACTTTGGCTCCTTTGTCCTGCCCCCGCGTAGCAGCAGCGCCCAGTTGGCCGCAGCCGCCGCGGCAGCCTCAATGCCCCTGAACATGCGCAAGCTGACAGCAGCTTCGAGTGCCGGGCACATGCTCATGAACTCGCTGCTCAGCTCGAGGGAGAGCATGTCCGATGCGGACGGCGACGTGGACAACGATGAGGCCACTGAATCGGCAGCTAGTCCGGGTCACATCAAGAGCAGCGTTTCGGCACAGGACGCCGGCTCCGCGGCGGCTGCAGCCGCTGCTCTGTACGCAGAGAGTCTCAGCCGGGACGATTGCGATTTTGTGGGCTCCAATGTGTCCATGAAGCTGCGCACCATGGACCGTACGCAGCGCATCATCGCCGAGAAACTAATCAGCGAGGTGCTCTTCTTTGGGCAGTTCAACGAGCTGGAACGAACTGCGTGCATCCAGCCCAAGTGACAGCGACGTCCAAGGAAGTGGACGAGTGCGGGACGTGTAGGTTTAGGTACGGGCAAGGGTATTACAACTGAGAATGGAATGGCAACGGGTTTGGAAATGGCTTGGAACATGGCAAATAGACAAAATGAAATTTCACTGTGAAATAGCCAAGAAAACTAACCACCACCACCACAAAAAAACAACAACAACAACAACAAAACAAAACAAACAGTACAATTTACTTTTAGTTCAACGGGGCCTAACTAAGGGGCTCATCTGTACAAAGCACATGGGGCAGCGTTACTTAGAACCAGATAGCTGTAAGGACAGCGGATCAACATGAACACGAACAGGATTTGGACCTGGTTTGGAAAGCAATCGGATTGACTTCCGAGACGGTTTCCAACGGGCTAACTAACAATAGCAACACAACTAACCGACAGAATCTCAGTATTACTTATAAAATACATCAACTTGGGTGTAGTAAGTGTATATACAGCACCTACAACTATATCATAGAAATGCAACCCCGGCGGCGGGAGGGGGGAAGCACAAAAAGCATTTGCCATGTTGGGCCTCTCAGAAACGATCCGACCATGTCCAGTGGGCTTTTTATTTTTATACGGTAGGCCCAATACACAGCAGGAGAGGAACTTTATAAAGAAAAGCCCACGTTGGGCGTAAAATTACGAAAGACAAAGCCAGTTGCTGGTAAAGTGCTGAAAGTTGGCAATTTTGTAAACCCAAAACTCGTCTGTTGGGGTTTTTTCAAGGATAATCAACGCACTTTGGGGAAAATGCATATGTATATATATATATATTATAAATACCAACATGTACAGATCTATATGTTTTATAGTTAGTAGTGTTATATATCAATGTACCTTATTTTAAAACTAAAATGTTTTTGTAGTCATTTAAGTCTGGTCGTTAACTTACAAACACCAATCAACACAGCAACTGAAACCAACCAACATAAGATATGTAACAAAAAAAACAAAAAAACAAAACAGAACCGTGTGAAGGAATCAATTTGTATAAAGCTAAAGCTATGCAGGTCGTCGTCACTAGTTTGTTAATCAAGAAAACAAAACAAAAAACAAAACCAAACCAACAAATACACAAAATACACTATTATAAATAAATATTGTAATATTATTGTACATTATTTTGCGTGCATGTTCACTAGGCCCTAATGATGTTTGCATAATGTTTAAGTAGACCTATATATATATATATATATATATATATATATATACAAAAAGCAACAAAAAACTGAAATGATGAAAAACATTAAATTTATTTATAAAACAAAACAAAAATCCACAAATTAGTCATATAAATTATAAAAGAAAGACTCAACTTTGCACACATTTTAGTTTCGGGAAGTGGAACTTCAAACTTCTTTAATGCGGCTTACAAAGTAAACTAGGGGAAATTAACTGATTTCAAGTCCCCGCTTTGGAGTTCCATTATTGGATTCATCAGCCCAATCAAAAAGACTTTTTCGACTGATCTAAGCTGTTATGAAACTGAGCACAGCTTTGCTTTTTTGTGTGGCAGTCTGTCTCCGTATCTTCCATCATAACTGAGGAGGGCTAGGTAGTTGTCCTCCAACATGGAAATCTCTCTTGCCAGGCCCTGGTTAGGAATATTGCAAGGTGCTAAGTAATTGCTCAGAGAACCTTAGCTGGGAAGCCAGAAGGCGTTGATTCTTAAATATATTTTGATGTTAGCTCTAAGAAGTCATAATTTAATAATTTCTGACAAGGATTCTCTTCTACTTTCAATAATGGTTGACCACGAGCTGAAGGAGTTAAATTGGTTTGGATTCAGACTCTGGAATTCAAATGACATTTCTCAGCATAAAGTCCAAAGTGGAAACTAGTTCAAATCTAATCCGATTTGCACGAGGTTTGGGTCTTTGATCATGGCTTGGCCTCTATCTGTAGATCAGGTAGCTCAGAATAGTCAGTCCAAAATACATAAGAGCAACCGTTTTTTTGATACAGCTCACGCGAGATTATCCTGCTACCCCAATAACGATTTGTTTGTAAAGTCAACCCTTTTTGATGATTTTTTGGCATATCTCGGCCAAATAATGTCCGATTTTGGAAAGATATACCATTTTTGACTCGTAAGGATCAGAACTATCGATTGGCGTTCAAGAAATGAAAATCTAAATTTTGACCCAAATCGACCAAAAAAGCAAGGGGTTACATCACGTTTTTTCTCAAAATCGAGGTCGGTCCGAAATTCAAAACTTTTTCGATGATTTTTTGAATATCTCGAGTATATATCGTCTGATTTTGAAATTTTATACCTTTTTGAATTCGTACGGATCCCTACTATCAATTGGCATTAAAGTTAATTAACAATCGATGGCTTGAAAAAAGTTGTTGACCCAAGAACGATTTGTTTGTAAAGTCAACGCTTTTTGATGATTTTTTGGCATATCTCGGCCAAATAATGTCCGATTTTGGAAAGATATACCATTTTTGACTCGTAAGGATCAGAACTATCGATTGGCGTTCAAGAAATGAAAATCTAAATTTTGACCCAAATCGACCAAAAAGCAAGGGGTTACATCACGTTTTTTCTCAAAATCGGGGTCGGTTCGAAAATCAAAACTTTTTCGATGATTTTTTTTGAATATCTCGAGTATATATCGTCTGATTTTGAAATTTTGTACCTTTTTGAATTCGTACGGATCCCTACTATCAATTGGCATTCAAGTTAATTAACAATCGATGGCTTGAAAAAAGTTGTTGACCCAAGAACGATTTGTTTGTAACGTCAACGCTTTTTGATGATTTTTTGGCATATCTCGGCCAAATAATGTCCGATTTTGGAAAGATATACCATTTTTGACTCGTAAGGATCAGAACTATCGATTGGCGTTCAAGAAATGAAAATCTAAATTTTGACCCAAATCGACCAAAAAAGCAAGGGGTTACATCACGTTTTTTCACAAAATCGGGGTCGGTTCGAAAATCAAAACTTTTTCGATGATTTTTTTTGAATATCTCGAGTATATATCGTCTGATTTTGAAATTTTATACCTTTTTGAATTCGTACGGATCCCTACTATCAATTGGCATTAAAGTTAATTAACAATCGATGGCTTGAAAAAAATTGTTGACCCAAGAACGATTTGTTTGTAAAGTCAACGCTTTTTGATGATTTTTTGGCATATCTCGGCCAAATAATGTCCGATTTTGGAAAGATATACCATTTTTGACTCGTAAGGATCAGAACTATCGATTGGCGTTCAAGAAATGAAAATCTAAATTTTGACCCAAATCGACCAAAAAAGCAAGGGGTTACATCACGTTTTTTCACAAAATCGGGGTCGGTTCGAAAATCAAAACTTTTTCGATGATTTTTTTTGAATATCTCGAGTATATATCGTCTGATTTTGAAATTTTATACCTTTTTGAATTCGTACGGATCCCTACTATCAATTGGCATTAAAGTTAATTAACAATCGATGGCTTGAAAAAAGTTGTTGACCCAAGAACGATTTGTTTGTAAAGTCAACCCTTTTTGATGATTTTTTGGCATATCTCGGCCAAATAATGTCCGATTTTGGAAAGATATACCATTTTTGACTCGTAAGGATCAGAACTATCGATTGGCGTTCAAGAAATGAAAATCTAAATTTTGACCCAAATCGACCAAAAAAGCAAGGGGTTACATCACGTTTTTTCTCGAAATCGGGGTCGGTCCGAAATTCAAAACTTTTTCGATGATTTTTTTTGAATATCTCTAGTATATATCGTCTGATTTTGAAATTTTATACCTTTTTGAATTCGTACGGATCCCTACTATCAATTGGCATTAAAGTTAATTAACAATCGATGGCTTGAAAAAAGTTGTTGACTCAAGAACGATTTGTTTGTAAAGTCAACCCTTTTTGATGATTTTTTGGCATATCTCGGCCAAATAATGTCCGATTTTGGAAAGATATACCATTTTTGACTCGTAAGGATCAGAACTATCGATTGGCGTTCAAGAAATGAAAATCTAAATTTTGACCCAAATCGACCAAAAAAGCAAGGGGTTACATCACGTTTTTTCTCAAAATCGGGGTCGGTTCGAAAATCAAAACTTTTTAGATGATTTTTTTGAATATCTCAAGTATATATCGTCTGATTTTGAAATTTTGTACCTTTTTGAATTCGTACGGATCCCTACTATCAATTGGCATTAAAGTTAATTAACAATCGATGGCTTGAAAAAAGTTGTTGACTCAAGAACGGTTTGCTTTGTAAAGTCAACCCTTTTTGATGATTTTTTGGCATATCTCGGCCAAATAATGTCCGATTTTGGAAAGATATACCATTTTTGACTCGTAAGGATCAGAACTATCGATTGGCGTTCAAGAAATGAAAATCTAAATTTTGACCCAAATCGACCAAAAAAGCAAGGGGTTACATCACGTTTTTTCTCGAAATCGGGGTCGGTCCGAAATTCAAAACTTTTTCGATGATTTTTTTTTGAATATCTCTAGTATATATCGTCTGATTTTGAAATTTTATACCTTTTTGAATTCGTACGGATCCCTACTATCAATTGGCATTAAAGTTAATTAACAATCGATGGCTTGAAAAAAGTTGTTGACTCAAGAACGATTTGTTTGTAAAGTCAACCCTTTTTGATGATTTTTTGGCATATCTCGGCCAAATAATGTCCGATTTTGGAAAGATATACCATTTTTGACTCGTAAGGATCAGAACTATCGATTGGCGTTCAAGAAATGAAAATCTAAATTTTGACCCAAATCGACCAAAAAAGCAAGGGGTTACATCACGTTTTTTCACAAAATCGGGGTCGGTTCGAAAATCAAAACTTTTTCGATGATTTTTTTTGAATATCTCGAGTATATATCGTCTGATTTTGAAATTTTATACCTTTTTGAATTCGTGCGGATCCCTACTATCAATTGGCATTAAAGTTATTTAACAATCGATGGCTTGAAAAAAGTTGTTGACCCAAGAACGATTTGTTTGTAAAGTCAACCCTTTTTGATGATTTTTTGGCATATCTCGGCCAAATAATGTCCGATTTTGGAAAGATATACCATTTTTGACTCGTAAGGATCAGAACTATCGATTGGCGTTCAAGAAATGAAAATCTAAATTTTGACCCAAATCGACCAAAAAAGCAAGGGGTTACATCACGTTTTTTCACAAAATCGGGGTCGGTTCGAAAATCAAAACTTTTTCGATGATTTTTTTTGAATATCTCGAGTATATATCGTCTGATTTTGAAATTTTATACCTTTTTGAATTCGTACGGATCCCTACTATCAATTGGCATTAAAGTTAATTAACAATCGATGGCTTGAAAAAAATTGTTGACCCAAGAACGATTTGTTTGTAAAGTCAACGCTTTTTGATGATTTTTTGGCATATCTCGGCCAAATAATGTCCGATTTTGGAAAGATATACCATTTTTGACTCGTAAGGATCAGAACTATCGATTGGCGTTCAAGAAATGAAAATCTAAATTTTGACCCAAATCGACCAAAAAAGCAAGGGGTTACATCACGTTTTTTCACAAAATCGGGGTCGGTTCGAAAATCAAAACTTTTTCGATGATTTTTTTTGAATATCTCGAGTATATATCGTCTGATTTTGAAATTTTATACCTTTTTGAATTCGTACGGATCCCTACTATCAATTGGC